GGTCATCGGGAACCCCTTGCAAACGGTAACTTGCAAGCAGCTTTTGCAAGACCTCTGTACCTCAGATCTCATTCCGTTTTTCTCGAGCCTCCCTGGTTAGTATCGCATCACAGCAGCCTCGTCTGCCCCAATCATTCTGCACACGCCAGTGCTGCGCTGTACATAGACACAGTCAACGTTCTGCCAAACCTGCCGGCATTGCATAACCACCGCGTCAGACACGGTTCCAAATGCCTGGCTGCCCAAAGTCACCGCACAAAGCCCATTACTGCTATGCGGCTGGGATCTGGTTCTGTGCTCTCAAATGCTCTCAGCATGTCCGCTCCTGGTAGACACACTGTGATCTGTGTTGCTGGGACATGAACCTCGAAGTGCTCTCGGAGTTCAGCTGCAGCAGTGTTCTGCGGCAAGCCCCCGACGAAGAGCTTGTTCGTGCCGGGCCTGTCGCATGCTTGAGAGAGGGAGGGGTCTCCACAATGCGAAGCCCGTCGCATAGACCGACTTCGACATGACAGGACGGATGCCAAAGCAAGCCAGCCAGGCACGGCCCTCTTGACGTCCACTTGTCGGCCCCCAATCTGGCACCATAATGGCGAGAAGAATCGTTCTCGCTCTTCACAGCATTTCTTGAGCACTGCCTGGTGCGCATCATTCAGAGCCGCCTGGGCACCTTGCACCTGCTCAGGGCGAGAGCTCTGTGGCGGGAGTTAGGGCAGTGAGCATCCTAGGGCTCTCAGCCTCGGAGAATGTGACGTAGCCAAAGCCACGAGAGCGCCCATCAGGCCAGCGCCTTGGCTGCAATCCTTCATGAATCATCATGAAGTCATGCCTATGCCTCCGACTCCATCAGCGTGAAATCGCGAGTTTGCAACTGACTCATCTGCGACATATCATGTTTAATCCTTCGCACGCGACAGAAAATGTCGAGGGCGAAACAGAACAACGGCATCCACAATCCCGCCGTACTTCACCTGGCGGAAAACTTCGGGCAGGGCATAATACGTGATGTGATGCTCCTGCGATGATGAATACGGGGCACTGAGGCTGCACAAACTCACGGGTACAGAACCGATGGAGGTCTTTGGATCTTGTGACAAATCCGAATTGCACGGCCCCCTTTGCAGCAAGCTTGCCCCAACCAACAAAACGATGTCCGGCTGGCGAAGTAGTCCCTGAGGTGTTGCGTTGTCGTCCTTTGCTGTTGAGATACAGAAACAAGTGGCAGCTACTGCAGACCACTGTATTTGCTTGGACTCCTAGAAGTTGCCCACGGCCTACACCTGGCTGGATTCCCACGTTTCTGCATCCTTCTGCAGCTCTTGCAGCGAGCGGCTTGTGCGCGAGACCACCTATGAAGATCTTCCTGGGATGACACTGGTCCTGACAACTGAACGGCTAAGGATCGTACTTTCTGACTCGGAAGGACGCTTGGAAACATTTCGATCTGGGATTCGCTGCAGCCCTGCCTCAAAAAAGCCCTTAGTGCAAACTCGGCGAACAAATCGGCCTCCTGCGTGGCGCAGTCCGTGGCGGTGCGGCGCCGCTGGGCGCGGCTGTTTTGACTCCTGCCAGAATTTGATCCTGATGACTCTGATGGCCTTAAGCTGTAAGTCGCCTCAGGCTGCGCTTAAAGCCTGAAACCGACAAAACGATGCGGCCCGAAAACCTAGAGCCGCAAGCACTGGAAGGGAAATATGCATGTGTGCACAGAAGTAGAGTCTACTCCCCCTTTAATCCTTTACGCTAGGATCCGTCATAGCCGGTTGAGGCACCGAGTAGTACCTACAGTGCACCTTAGCCTTGGCAGCTTTTCCATAAAACGGTCTTGCAGATCCGCGCCTCGCATTCTTTGCAGCGGCTGCCGGGAGCTGGGGCTTGCCTTCAGAGACACCTCGGGGGGTTAATGGCTGAGAAGTGGTAGCCATGACAGGGCAAATGGCACTCCTTCCGCTGCTGCTCGCTGCATCTCGCCGCCTCTCTCCTTCTGGACCTTCCTCTTACTGTCTTACTCCCCATCCTGCGTAGTTCACTGGCACATTAGGGTGTTTTTATCGGAGATGATTTGCCTCAACACGGCTTCCACCCAGGTTATGCTGCCGTTGTTCCTTCTTGGCTGCGTTGCAGAACACAGTCTTGTCTGCCCAAGCCGCTCTGCCAAGCAACGAGTCCAAGGACGCCGAGGCCCGAGCCCTCCACGCACGTGACCTGTCTGATCCGCCAGGCCCAAGCTATTTAACTTCACGCATGCTGGGCTTTCGGCCTTGCCCGGGCAGATGGGTGACAATGTGCAGGAGTCAGCCTCGGGTTCGGGAACCAGGACATTGCCCAAAACAGCCCAGAACGGAGCTCGACTGAGGCTCCCGGCACCCTCCATGATTAAGCAGCCGTGGTCCTCGTCCTTCGAGGGTGTACTCAAACGATTCCCAACTGGTTCACCAGATTTCGCCACACTTCGTTAGCGCATCGAAAGATGAGGAGATCAACGACTACGTCAATAAATACGTAAGTCAACAACCCTTCATCGGCACACTGTGAGAAAGTTTGAGTGTTTATTTGCTCGCTGAGCCATCCGGGCCTTCTCCGGGCAGCACTGGGTTGGCCGATTGCAAACTCCCAAGAGTAGCCAGATGGCGGCAGAGTGCAATCTAGTGCGAAAGGATGCGCAAGGGCTCTGCCGTGCCCTGTACCCGCGATCTAGATTGGCCGATGACTTACAACTGCGGGAAAGCTTCTAGACGCTGGCTGACACCCCGCTCAACGTATCAGGTCCGAAGCCGCGTCCAACAAACAATGTCCTGCATGTCCTACATGCACATGCTGTGAAATTTTGCACCCTTGCCGAGCTTGCGGCTGCTTGGCAGTGGCATTAATGTCAAAGCTCTGTGGCATCTCTCCCGACGGTCGGGCTGTGTGAGGGCTTGCACCCTTCACGAAGACAGGGCTGATGTCTTTGACGATCATGCTACAGATCCCAGACATCTGATCTCTGCCGGAAATCAAAAGGATGCGACTATTCCGGGAGACACAGGCCTTTACAAAGTTTGTAAATCTCCATACGCAAGCTCGGAGGCCTGGTGGAAGAGGTCACATGGAAAACATTTCCTGGCACAAACGGACGCGACAGTGTGGTTCTTGAAAGAAAGAGGCCATGCACTGCCGAGTCAAAACATCACCAAGTCTGCGTACACTGCAGGTTGAGCTTTCGGTGTTGCCTGGCAGACGTCGGGCGGCAGCAGCGAGAGCACTGTCTCTTCGGTCTCAACCCCTGCGATGGAAAGACTGCCACCTGGACTGACAACACACTGGTGAATCCATGCACTGTGCAGAGGTAGAAGGGCAACAGGTCACCCCTGTCTCTGCTGCCTTCGAGGCGGTACTGACGAGCAAAGAAAGGTGCTGCGGTCTTGGCCTGGCCAGAGAGGAGTTTAAGCGACTGCTCTTGGGGAGTTGCCAATCCGGAATTGCTCTTCACAAGAGACCTGCCTGGCTCTCGGGGCACTCCCAGGGCTGTCCGCGCTGGTAGAAGAGCTTCCCCTTCACAGCACGAAGACTTTGAATGCAGAGCAGTGGTGCAAGACGCACTGCCGGGCCTCGATGAACTTGTTGTAGGCGAAGAAGCTGCTCCAGTTCTCCTCACGAGCGGAACGAATGTGGCGAAGTCATGCTCACTGAAACCGTCGCATACCTTCGGGTCCTGCCACACAAGGTAGAGGAGCATCCGGCAGCGGCCAGTGGCAGTTGTCTCATCGATGAAAGCTCGGCCATTGTCGTCCATGCCGAATTCGAAAGAACCTTCCTTGCAGAGCCAGGCGATGTTTTGGGGGCCATGACTTTGCTGCTGCAAGAGCTCGTTGTGCTGGTGTCCGCAGATCTGAGTCTGGAAACATACCAGTCACGCAGGAGGCACATTGCCATCAATGCAGCATACTTCGGTATTTTGCACCATGGATCTTCGTTCATGTGGCTTCGTGCATGACCTCCCAACAAGCCGTGTCTCCTTACTTGTACTGTCACTATGGTGTTTGCAGCTTCTTCACAGCCGCAATCGCCTTTGACCTTGACTGCTACTTCGGTACTGCTAGAAGCACTGGTTCTAACTGGCTACGATCAAGCCCAATGCTACCACGACTACCACCAGTACCTACTACACCCATGTGACAGGACTGGACTAGCAGGGCAACCACTTCCTGCACTGAAGGGGACAGTGGGGTGCATAACGGTGCAGGCAAGCCTCTTTGCTTCCAGCAAACTTCTCGGCCAACGGCAGGTACAAAGCTCGCGACTTTCCCGTTGCATTTCGAAATTTGCCCTGACGCATGGTCGAAAACAGCATCAACATTCCGCATAGCTCTGGATGGCGTACTGTAGTACGGACACTAACATCGAACGTAAACAACGACCGAACATGTCTCAAGTGTAGAGATAGACAGAGACAGAAAGCAGAGATTCCTCCAACGCCTGGTCCTTCAGGTTTTTCGCCAACAGGATAGATAGCAGATAGGCTACTGGCTTCATGGATTAGCACATGCTGGTGGTGGCCAGAGACGTCACGAAACATCCATCCGTAACATCGCACCTATCATCGGAGCCATAGTAACTTGGAGCCAGCTTTTTCACACTAACATGTTGGCTAGCATAGAAAGCCAAAATCGGCTTAAGAATGCATCCGACTCGTGTGTGCATGCCCAGAGTCCTGGCCGAAGCGAGCGTCACATTGCAACGTGTTGTATCTGTCCAGACGTACAACTATCGCCTAAGGGCACGTAAACGAAAAGCTAACCCAAAAGCTGGGGATATCCCACCCAAAAGCTCATATTTGGGCGGCGTTTCGGTTACTGAGTTTAGCGTACTACACGCAGAGATTCGGCGTGGTATCCGCACTGCCTCCTTGTGGAGATCCAGGGTATTGCGCTCCAATTGGTCCGGTTTGTCGACCTCTGACAAGAGACGCAGGTCGGTCCCTCTGCAATAATTGTCACGTCACTAAATCTGACCAGCAAGGCCCTGCTCAGATATAGACATCTCAAGCCCGTAAATGCTGGGGCTCTCTAGGCAATCATGCAAGGTATGGCAACGTGCTGGTCGGGCCTTCGGCTTTATCCACCAGAAATCCACGTCTTTGTCAAACTGCAACGCGCAGAAAGCTTTCAATTGCTCAACAGTTCCAGCGGAAGGGCTTCCGTACTGGCCTTGCAGTACATCACCGCCTGCATGCCACAAAGGCTGTTGGGGCAAACACCTGGACACCAAAAAAAGTCAGTCGGAGATGTCATCTTTAGTCCGAGCCCCTCCTTCGATTCTGAAAGGCTGACAGACAGAAGCTACTAGTGTGACTTCTTCTCGATCAAATGAAAATATGTTTGCGGCGGCCCACCAGCCACTGCAAACAGCGGGGTGCCACGGCGGCGACTCTCGACGCAGGTGGCCATTGCCTGGACATCAAGGCCGTGAAGTGCGCATTTTACAAAAAAACACCAAAACCGTCTTGCAGTCCATACCGTAGCAGCATCAACACAGGACAAATCGTCGGTGGCAAGCAAGGCATACAAGTGCCCACCTTGTTCTTGCCGTCCACAACCATGGCAAGAAGTTCTTGGAGCCAGTGGAAGTGAGAAAGTCTATTCTTGTTCCTGGCACCAAGATCCAAGTGTTCACGCAAGAAAGCTCAAGTGGGGAAGGTGCAACTGCGATGGAAAAGCCAAACCGAACAGCATCCTCGGGCAAAGTGGGGTTAGTGCGCAGAGGGGGTGACAGCGCAATAACAAAGGCAAAGGTAGACTTCGACTGCCGAGTCCTAAGCTGCTCATCCTAAGTTTCGGCAAAGGTGGACCTCACTGCCAACTTCTCCGCAGTTCTTCGGGAGACTTCGAGGTGCACAACCTGAAGGGCAGCTGCACCATTTTGCTGTCAGCTCGAAATGGAAGGGCTTTCCGAATTTCCGAGGATTGAATGGCCATCAGAATCTTGACACCCGAGCAAGCCTTGGGCGTGTGCTGACCATGCATTAAACCAAGACATCGCGCATGACATGAGAAGCCCAGTGCTGTCGCCTGTTGGCCGGCGCTTGTCTACCACGAAGTTGATCCCGGAAGTTGGTAAGGCTTTTTCTTCCGGAGTTTGAGTTGGAGCATTCGAGAGGAAGCTTTGTCCGAGTGGCCCAAATGGTCAAGAAGGAAGACGTCATACGGGAACTGTCAGACATGTCAGACGATGAAGCTGAACGTCTTCATTGGGCGGTTCCGTGCTCAAGTGCCGTGGAGGACATCAACTTGCAAGTGGCTGTGTTGCAGAATGCGATTTGGGGCTCTCTGCGTATTCTCCATATGCTGTATTTGCCAACTGTCGCGCAACTCTTCCTGACGGCCCATCCATCGGACAGGCAGTGGAAACCAAACTGGCGGATTCTGAAATGCCACCGAGCATCATGAAAACCTCAACTCGGCAACGGGGCAGACTTGCTCTACTGCCCTCCAAAAGGCAGCGCTCATGCGAGACTCTGGGCTGCTGCACTCGAAGACTTTCGAAGGTGCACAAGCAGACTCTGAATGTTCCTTCCAACTACATTCCACTCCGGCCGAATCGCACGTCCATCGAAGCCGCTTCCACGCATCGCCGCTTGCGAAGCACCAGGCCATGAATTCCTCGCATTTCATGCATCTAGCCAAAGCTTTCGGGTTTCGGCACAGGCAGCATCAGCGACAAAGCAACAAATTCCCAAGCTAACTTGACGTTGCATCTTCCTCCAGCTGGATGAAGCCATCGCCGTCCGTGTCGATTTGCTTCAGAAGCTCCTCGAAGCGCTCACCTGAGAAACCCCCCAAAAGAACCCCAAGAGCATTTCGACCAGGCCGGTTCTGCCAAGCCACCCCGCACGTCCGAAGGATCGGCTAGCTGCTGTAGCACAGATCGCAACTCCTATGCGAAGGAGTAGCACTGGCTGAAGGGATGCAGGCTAGCCCGTTACAAGTAGGAAGTTGAAGTTGCCGCAGCGGCGACATTGGGTTCGTGTGAGTAACTGCCCACCGGCCCATCATTGGCCTATCGACCTTGTTGCGCCTGCCTCCCTGCCCACGAAGTTGAGTCTTTCCTGTTGAACTGCGGAGCACGACGTGCAACACTTATCCAGAGAGAGAGAAAAAGAGAGAGAGAGAGAGAGAAAGAGAGAGAGTGCAAAAACCACTATACCATCAAACAGTTATGATTCCTGATTGACCAACCGAGACCAGTGTGTTCCCAATCCACAACACACTCAGGCAAGCATTCGTTTATGCGACCAAGCCAGTCCTGTCCAGTCTTGAGCCAAATGCCATTCGGCATTGTAGCATTCGATAATGCATCATGATCATTTTAGAGCATTCTAGGGAGGGGTCATTTAACAGAGAGAGAGAGAGAGAGAGNNGCGAGAGCGAGAAGAGCGAGAGCGAGAGGAGTGAGAGCGATAAGAGCGAAAGTGAGAAGAGCGAGAGCGAGAAGAACGAGAGCGAGAAGCGCGAGAGCGAGAAGAGCGAGAGCGAGAGCAAACACTGCACAATGAAATGGCATAGGCAGTGTCCTCATGGCTCACACAGTTGTCCCTGCATGGCGCATCGAGTGGACAAGGGCAGAAACACAAGTGAAAACTCATTCTAGCCCTCACAAGCTAGACTGAACGGCAGTTTAGGGAGAAAGCACACTAAGAATTCCACTTCAATGCCGTGCTCCAGGCGGCCTGTTGGCATCAAACTTCTGGAATAAGGCCAAGACTTGGTCTTCCTGCATAGTTCCCGCCAGGCCAGCGTTCACATGTCACCGCATTTTGCAGAACGGTTCTCAATAGCATGGCAATATGATGCAATATGGCAAGGTCCTGGAATGACACACTATGCCGCGTAGAACTCCGGTCCAGGTGGATGGACTTGTTGGAGGAACGACTAGACATGCTGGCCTTCGTTCGTGACGCTCCCAGGCAGTGCCACATACCGGTGTTGACTTAGCGAAAGCAACCATGCAACTTCAATTTGTCGATCCGAGCGGCATGCGAGTTGAGGGTGGTCAGAGCGGGCTTGGAGCCGCCTCCGCCCGAGGGGCTCGAAGGAGTGGGAGGAAGCGCGGGGACGCCTTCGTTGAAGTGGAGGTCCGGGATGTCCGGCATGTTAGTTTCGAGCTGGCCATCCAACACCTCCAGGCCTTGACGACTCAACGCAACACTCGCTGAGTGGCGGAGCGCTTTTTCAAGACCCCGGCCTGTCCGCTCTCGCGTGGACACCTCTGGGTCGCACGGCATGCAAGGCCGGTTCCCGAACTCCTGAGCACACCCGGCAAGAGACTGACGGCAAGGCAGATGTTGTGAACTGGCTCTCAGTTTTGAACAATGTTCAACAGGAAGCTCAAACTTCCAGCCCAAATCTCCCAACCCCACTAGCAACGCTCGTCCACCTTGGCAGCGCAGTACTCATCTGCGGGCACCGTATGGCTGCAGCAAGCCCCCATGGCGACTACAAGGCTCTTGGCCAGCCGCTGGAGCTGTTGACGTTCGAATCACGTTATCTGCTGCCAGCTTTGCTCAGACAAGTCTGAAAAGGTTGGCACTGCTGCAGTCGATGTTGAAACATCAAGGCAAACACTATCGGCCTTCCCCTGAAATGATAAGCTTCTCTGTGTCTTGTGACGCCTGATGTTCTGCTCATGGCTAAGAGCCGGAACAAGGTCATGTAGCCAAACCCGTTTCCGAACAACTGTGTACGGAGGACCGAGAATGAATGACGACATCTCTGGTTGCCGCACTCCAAACAATTGATGCAACACTCCTAGCACTTGCATACAATATTTTTCTGGTTGCGCATCGTTCCGGATTCCTAAAATTTGCGAGTACCAAAAAGTCGTTCAAAGCTTATCTAGTCAATGTCTCCCTGCCATCTGTGTTTCGGAGAGATGTGGATCTCATACTTAGGGCTGCAAACAGACTTCTAATGATTTTATTGTTTGTCACCTTTGCTATCATAACTTGGGAAGATTGACTGCAAGATCTCTTCAAGACAGGCAATCCCGGGTCCGATGCGCGTCTCTTCGTGCATCATGTGAAGGTAAGTGAACAGCTAGACTCAGGCATCAGCAAACATGGGGTGACAGCTGTCCGCATGCTGTCCTTCACTCATCGTCGTCGTCACCTCTCAACGACATTCGTTTCGCATGCTCGTTGACGGAAAGCCCACAGTCCAACACTCCTCCTGGTTCTGCTGAGTTGCCGTCATCAGTCGGGGACTCCACTTCATAGACCCAGTACCACTGCCTGCCGACGACCTGCTGCAACAAACCGCACTTCATGGTTCGCGATAATCACAAAGATCACTTCAACTACAGTATTGCTATGGCACGGGGTGCAATTCTCGGAAATCGCAGAGCGCTGAAGAGCATCTCAACTGATCCGCGAAGAGGTGGCGTGCTTCTTTGAGGCTTTGGTGAATGAGATTCACCCTCCCTCGGTGAGCAGATACAAAACCTGTACCCTAAGTCGAAATGTGCCGAGCAGATGACCGACTGGAGCAGCAAACAAGCTGTTGTCGCATCATCATGTCTTCCCAGGATTCTAAAGCGTGCTCTCAAGGCTCTCTGTGTGCGTCAACACACGATTTCGCAGGGGTTCAGGCCTTCACGGTCATGGTCGAAGCCACGGCCTCTTCCAAGGCGTAGATCGTGGTGAAGGCCTTGAGCACCGGACGCAGACACCGCTTAACCTTTCATCATGTCCCGTTTCGTATTGTATCGAAACGATCATCTGTCCGATTCAATGCACCTCTCCTCTGACCCTCTAAGCTCTCATGAGGAATCAGATCCAGCAAGGCCATTCAGACTAACCTGATTCGAGCTCCTTGTGAAACGGATATGAGCATCACTGGCTCCCGAGCACGAATCTGCGTTTGCAGTGTGCGCCGAGCCGGCAAGCTGAAAGACGAGTGAGAAACAGAGGCTGGCACTTGTCATTATTGTTCAGGACCGAATTCCACCTCCGCATGACGGCGGGCACGCCGGCAGTAACGTAGGAGGCTGGCAACTGACCGTCCCTCCAACCAGCTCATGCAAGCTGCTGAGAGCACCGAGACCCCCAGGAAAATAAAGGCACCAGCGAGGCTGTGTTGGTATGCCCGCGCAGACTCTACAGATCCGACATAAAGAGTGGCGACGATTAGGACCATGATAAAAACGGTCTGCAGGTGGTCCAAGCGGCCGAAGCGGCGAGGAGCCAAGACGTCGCAAAGGTAGACCATAAGCAAGTTGGATGCCCAAATAAAGAAAACGTCAAAACCCAGGAGAATCCCAACAGCAAAGGAGAGTAACGCATCGGAAGGAGCACCACCCTTCCAGGCTGCCAGAAAGAACTCAGCGCTCAGGCTGAGGACCGGCGTGAGCAGCAGGAGGAGGTATTGGTTGGGAAGCCGCGTGCGAGAAAGTGACTTCTCAAGCTCATATTTCAAATCCTGACGCACGAAATCGACGAAAGTCTGTTTGCTGCCGTACCACTTCTCAATGGCAGCATGGATAAAATCTCCTGCAATCCCGCCAGGCCAGCCAGGTGTACTTAGCAAAGTCTGCTTACACTAAAAGCGGCCACAACGGGCTACCAAACATCTGCTGGATGTACTATGTGCTGCCGCGGAGCTATCAAATTGCTGAGAACACTTCACGGTATCCAGATCGAAGTTGTCAAGCTGGCTCAGAAGCTGATGCTTCTGTCGAAAATTCAGTCTCAAAACGCAGATAGCTACTGGCCAGGCCACAGTAAAAATCAAGAGCAGCACGATCACGTTGCCGTAAAAGATACTCTGTGCAAACAAGCAGAGAAAGGAGAACACATACGAGCATAACATCAATGCCAACACGGCCTGCTCGATGAACAGCGGCCTAAAGGTAATCCTTCCATCTGGATTCACTTTTTTGTATGCCGCAAGCTCGAAGACGCACCAAAGACCTCGGTGAGCCAAAGTTGCTGCTTCGGTGGATCGCAGGTGGCTGGAATCTGACCTAACCTAATGTACGAGTAGGTTCCTGCAAGTCGAAGAATCGACTGTGGGGCCTCCTTCGGGTTTCGCAGCACCGGCACAGAGTTCGGTGTCGACGTTTCGTTTTGAAGCCCCAGGAAGGCCACAAGCCGCAGCGGGATGGTTTATGGGTTCACACAAATCGAGAGGCGTACAACACACCGATAATGATCAGCAGCCCACGGTCTAATTCGTACCACATACATGTCGAACAATACCGAATTGTGTGTATTCACGAACCTCTGCCATCAACAACCTTGATGGACTCCAATTCGTGAAAAAAGATTACAGTAGTGCCTTTTGGCAGGTTAGTGTGGTCAGGAAATGGTGACCAGTAAAAAATCTAAATCTGGTCAATATCCGCGCATTCGTTTGCAATGCTCAGCGCAACACACACACACACACCCGCTCGGATAAAGGCAGTGAAGATCCACCGAGACACGAGAGAGGTACGGCGCGCTCCAGAGAATCCGCATCTCAGAGGAAATGCTCAAGAATCCTGCGATTCCAAACACACCACGCTCCATCAAGGTCTTGTCCACCTTCGGTGACTAGTGAGGTTGTCGATCAATGGGCAAGAGATTCGGGGCCTACTACTGAAAATAAAAACTTATTGGTCGCTGTGACGGTTCACCTGGTGAATGCTCGCCACATCAATGAAGCAGGTGTCCGTGCTGCGGCCACACCTTGCAGACAGAATGCTAGAAGCCAGTCAATGAACCAACTCAACAAGCTATTGTCGTCCATCCTGAATCATCTTGAATGACGGAAGACCCTCGCCTACCCTAGCCCTCCCGCCTATCTGTCCAAAGAGGGGTAGACATCAGCCCAAGCCCCATGGCCAGACAGCTGCAAGTCATGATCCAGAAGCCCATCGGACAAACATCGACAAAGCCCATGACGTTCGCCCGGTACATCAGCGGCATTGGCAGAACATCTGCCAGGCAAAGAGCGGTGCACAGTGTTGCGGCGACAAGCCAGGAGACAAATCCGTAATGCCAGCCGCATTGGAGGGACAGGGACAGGATTTTCCATCTTCCAGGGCTTCGCCAAGTGTGCGAAACGAATGTCTGGAAATGCGTCACCCTTGTGGACATGTTGTACAGGCTCATGCGGTCTTCGTCTGTCCATGTAGCGGGGTTGTATCTCCAGAGGCGGCCGAAACCCTCAAGTGATTTTCGCAAGGACATGCCACGTGCCACTCCCATGTCGATGTGGGAATACCTCCCCAATGTGTGGCGCTCCGTCTTGCTCATCCCGATAGTCGCCCCTGAACTTCCCCGGGTGGGCAAGTCCGGTATCTCCATCAAGGTGGAATACGTGCAGCTGCGATCAAGTCCACCAGTCTCAGCATCGACCGCAGGAGCCTCGTCATGCTTTATGGCAGGAAGCTGCTCAAGTTGCCCGAGCTTTGATTCCGCCTCCACCCCTTCCACGGCACCAGGTTCCTCTCCGGGCGTGCAACAAGCCGAAGAAGGTGCGCAGGAGGGTCCAACACCCATGCCCGCCCCCTTCTCACCTACGTGCTGTGGAACACCTAACTTTTGAGGCAAACGGTAATCTACAGCAAGTCCGATGTCAACACAAGAACATTGTTCCAGGTGCAGGGAGAAAACGAAAGCAGGTACTCCAATCTGCAATTACTCCAGGAGCATGCTTCTTTCGTGGCGTCGCGAGGCCAACGCTTCTAGAACAGGCTTGAGCAGGGTTGTACACAAATTGGATTTGACGTGGCTCGCACTTCTTTGGCATTCTTTGGGGAGGAAACCGAACCTTGGTCACTGGAGGGCAGTGGGGTCGGTTCGATATTCGCTGTGATTTGGATTTAGATATACCCGGGTCTGGGTGAAACAGCGAAGCTCCACCACCTGGAAGCCTCTTGAACTGTGCGAGAAGGCCCAACTCTCGGGAGAGTGATTATGAAACCAGCGAAGCATCCTTGAATCCCTTGGCATCTGGGTCCCGGCAGGAATACAAAGCCCCAGGATGATGATGGTGGGGATGTAGAAGAACAGGTATTCAGCCTGCATCTTCTAGGTTTTTGGAAGGCTACCAGGCGGCCAGGATCACAAAGTCTGCACCATGCCTTCATCAGGAGTTTGTAGTTGGTCCAGATCAAGATGCGCTGGCGCGGATAGAATGGAACATGCTCCTGTCCGCAGGTCGGGATAGACCCATGCATCCTTGTGCACTTGCAATCTGAAGGCGCCTGGTGTGTGAAGTACAGCTCGGAGATTGCCTTGGGCGGATCTTGGGAGACCACCTCAGCGCGAGGGAGCCAGCTCAAAGCGCTTCGTACGGATGTGCAGCAAATTGCACCAAGCCCCCGGCCCAGTTCTGGCCACGCTCCTGAAGCGAAGTGTCGCATGTTCCCGAGGTCGAAGTCTCGAAGCGTTCAGGTGTGAAGGACAGTCCTTCACGAGCTTCATCCGAGGGAAGTGATCCGTCGGGTCGGGGTCGTGGTAGTCCTGCCACACCACATTGGCAGTCATTATCCTGCACATTCAGCCTGATGCATGGAATGCTTTCGCGGTGGACCGCAGGTTCTGCGCTCGTCTCGCTCAGTTGTTGCTTTCAGATTCCCTGATTTGCTATCTTGCGCGTGCATCTTGTGGGAGTGTCCGAACTACAACACAGCTTGACGACTTGATATTGCGTCCCCTTTCCACCATAATGCCATAATGCGGTGAATCTCCCGCAATCGAAGAGCCCCGAACCCCCGACCTGAACACAGCTTGAAATAAAAAGCTTGCCAACTTCTGCAAATTAGCCACATAGGGATTACCAGAAAAAAACACAGAACACAGATGCGAAAGACACGGTATAGCTTTCCGGTTCGAGAACCCTCCTCGGCATCCTCCTCTTCTGGCCTTGCAAGTAGCACAGCTTGCACGTGGGCTACTCTGGCTCAGCACGGTTCAGCTGGCCTAGTGCCATCTGGGTTGAGATGTGCTCGGGGATCACCTCCGGATCCAAAGCGGCGGCATGCCTCTGGATCTGCGGAATGCTCTCAGCTCGGAAAGTCGAAAAGGACTCACAAGGACAAACATGACACGTCGCTGAAAGCTCGGAAAATCCTGCGGCTCTGACCATGGCAGGCATCCATTGGCGCGGCCTCTTCGGCTGGGGCCAAGCATCGGAGCGGAAACCTCTGTGAACTTTCTGAGTTCGCCACTGCACGGCTTTTGCTTCTCCCAGGTTCGCAACGCCTGGAGCGTCTCTCTTTCAGCCACGACCGGCTGGAGAAGCGCTGTGTTTTTGCTACGGCTGCACGTTTCTGGGGTCGCTGCGGCAAGCACTGCGCAAGAGGCCCCGAGACAGCATGGCCTCGGATTCACAAAGCGCAAACGGCACGAGTGCGGCCTTCAAAGCACGAGCTCCGCGCTCAAAGTCAAGCGCTGGCCAAGCAGACGAAATGCAGCGGCTTGAGTTCGCCACGGCTGTGTAGATCATCGGCTATGAAGTTGCCCGAATGCACCCCTCGTAGAAACACACATGCCAGCGGCTGCAATAGTTACAATTACCGGATGCATCCTTTTGATTCTTGTGATACTCTCGCGACTCCTCTGGCAAAAGACTTGAGCTCATGACTGGGTATAAGTAAGCATCCCTCGTTCTGGGGGTCGACATAGCTCTGTACTGCGAGCTCTTGACTTAGCATTTGCCACAAAGCCGGGCCAAGGAGCGCCTCACCTTTGGACTGGCGCCCAAGACCTACAATCAGGGACAAGCTCCCATCGCTTCTCAAACCCAGCGCCACGTCGCGTCTGCTCTTCGCATCTTTCTGGGCGTTCGGGCTCAGCGCCACGTCCAACAAAGCCACGCGAACGGCGAGCTTTGCGAGCTCGACGGTCTTGCCACGCAAGCTTAGGCCCTTCGGCTCAGCAGCCAAACCAAGCACGGCATTCTCTCTGTACAATGCCACAGCTGCTGCCATCTCGCCCGATATCACCATGGCATCTAGCAGCTTGCTCCAGATTCCTGCATCAGGTGCCAGTCCATCCTCCCGCATGTCCTCGACCAACTTAAGTGCATGCTGCCACTGGTTACAACGGCTGCAAGAGGAGATCGCCGCATCGAAACAGAGAAGCTGCTCAAATGCCGGCGACGGCCTGTGCCGAAAGTCAGCGACAGCAACCGCAGTAGGCAAGAGGCAGGAAGTTAGAAAGGTGTATCTCTTTTGGGGCGTTCAGGTTGGTGTCTGCATCCGCAACCACGTGCCACATCGTGCCACCGGCCAAGCCTGCTTGGACTGTGAACCGCGGCTTTGCTTCCGGCCGCCTGGCAGCTGGCCTTGAGGGGCCCGTCCCCTGTCACACGCACATCATCCAGCGTGCAAAAGCGGCGGCGGCCTGGCGGTGGACCGAAAGAAGCACTGCGAGAGTCGGAGTTCAAGCCATGACACACCGAGTGTCCCATCCAAGCCCGCCTGCTGGGCTCCGGTCTCCGAAGGGTTCCTTCCACCTCGTGGGCAATAGGTCCGGGTGGTATGAGGATACTATCAGCATCCTGGTCTTACGAAACCCAATGAATGGTTCCTAATCCAGATAGTAGGGGCGTACGATTGCAACAGCAGGCAACTTGTCTCGTTGTCAGAGCTCGGGTTCACAACGGGACTTAGTGTCGCATCGTGGGAATCTCGTGCTGAAGAGTTGGCCTTTGGCTATGCACAACATTGCAAGGGACGTGTATGCGTTCCTGTGCGTGTGTGTCTTTTGTCCACTCGAGGTTCTGCAGAACCTCCTCTCGTTAAAGCTAAACATGGATCTCAGGTAAGAGGGCTGGCCCAGACTGTAGCCGAAGCCAAGACTGGAGGGGGCGGCACAATCTTGGAAAAGCCACTCCTAAAGTTAGCCTTGCTGCACAGCCTGAGAACTAAAAAGCAGCCAGCCGACCACCAAAGCACGGAACTGCATAGCGTTCCTTCAATAGTCTTGTACCAGAGGCTTTGGTCGTGGGCAAACAAACTCTGGACTGAGTCTGCGAGCAACTCGAACTTCTCCAGTTCAGCTCAGCAGACACGTTGCGATGCTCCGTCCGAAGCACGCTTTAAGCCTGTGGCTTAAGCGACGAGCAAAAATTAGTGACACGGGTCGAGCGGAGGATACAGCTCGGTTGCTATCTGAAAATTATCTGAAAGCAGAGCAAAGGAGCACGCATGGGCTTACATTCCTCAGGCTCCGATGTCTTCCAGACCTTGGCCAAACTCCGGTGCCTAGAGCTCGTATTTTTGCTTTATCCAGTGCAGCGGGACCACAGATGTCCATAGCCCGATGGGAGAAGAGGTCCTTAGAACAACACACAGGCAGCTCAGGAAAGCTGCCGTCAAAAATCGATGCCACGCTGCCCTGTACAAAACTCGTTCTGTCAGGAATCCCTGGGATCATCGGAGCCCTTCTTCTCCAGGTCTTTCCTGAGGCCATCCTGCAGGCAAAGCAGCATCACAAGTGGCCTCAGAAAGGAGGGGGGATGATGATGGATGATGACAGGGAAGGATTCGCATGTATGAACTGATCACATCGGATCGAGACCTCCAACTCCTGAAGAGCTCTTTCCTGTTCCTGACTGCACACACGCGGAGCTTTCTCGCAAAACTGCAGGAGAGCGTTGCTGGGCCACCGCACGCCCAGCGCAGCGCCAACACGAAGAGAAGTCGCCGGTGCCTCGGTGGGCAGCGGGCCCAAAAATTCCCAGCGAAGGGCACTTCCCCGCTTCGGCCTCGGCCTCCTCCGCGTGAGAGGGCTCGGGCCTCGGCGCTGCTCCCGTTTTCAGCTTTCCATCTCTGCATCCGGGGTCCCTGCTCTTGGACCTTGGGCAACAGTGAGGTCGGTCGCAAAACGTCTGAGCAACAAGACCCCGATGTCCTTGCCGTCCCACCTCGCTGGTGACAGCTACATCATCCGCCGTTTCGATTTCAGGCCTCAGGCGAGAGGCTGCAGAGGCTGCAGTCTGCAGTACATCAGGGGCGGCAGTCACTTCGACGTTTTCAGACGCGCAGAAGCAAGAGACGCATCGGTGAGCTGAGGTACTCGGGTTCGGGTCCCAGAACATCAGCTAAATCCAGGTCCTGGCCAGCCCGACAGCACCAGTTCCCTTCAACAGATCTCCAGAATCGTTCCCGCTGCCATACGAGCGACGCAGCATAGCAGCTAAGTGAAAGCGAGCTTGAAATGTCCTCCACCTGGACAGGATATGCAGCGGCTTCGCAAAGAGATGCTGCCTGACGGGTCAAAGTCGAAACCGGACAGTTCGATCGGCCATGCGTGCGGCCTTTGCTGCACTGCAGTTGGGCCAAGTCCGCTTCCGGACGAATCGTCTCACTGATCAGTTCTACTTACAGGTTGCGAATATATGGACTGGGACCCAAATCTAGGAGGCAGGCTGGCATCAACCCCTTCCACATCGGCTTTCTCGACCCCACAGCCAATCCCGGCAAACACCACCGTAGCAATTCCTGCTCCCGGCCATGTTGCTCCGCGTGTGACTTCCATTCACACCGAATGGTGCTCACTCTTGCAGATTGGTTGGGTTTCCAAGCAATCTGCCCTGACTCCTGTGCCCGAGTGCCAAATCCCAGGGTACGACTGCTATGAGGGGGGCTTGCATGATAAGATGGTTCCGAGCACAGGCATGTAAAACTCCAAGCTTTTGAAGGACCGCTTCGCAGCAAGTAGCCGCAGACATCAGATCGCTATCACGCTGCCTAAATGAATGACCCGATGATAGCAGCAGTTTCAGAATAAGAAACCACCCCTGCCCGGTTTGGCACCGCTCAGCCACTCATTCCGCACGGGATGCCCAGCATGTCGAAAACAGCAGGTGCTCCGCAGACAATGGTCCAGGCCATGCTCGTGTAAACGCTCGTTTTAAGCACAGCGGCTGCAAAAAGATCCCAGCCCTTGATCTCCTGCCTGCAGTCTTCCACCTCACTGCGTGGTACCGGCTTTGCTGGGTTCGGCTCCAAGCCGATCAGGCGCAAAAGCGCCGTGAAGCCGCTCTTCAGCACCACCCGCGCCAGCAGGAGGATGGTGTAACCAATTACAGAACGCAGCACAGCCGCGGCCGTGCTGCTCCGATCGAAGGTCTCAGTGCTGAATGCGCTTGCTCCACCACGGCGCTCTGCCTCCATCCGAAAGCCGACAGCGCAGCCGAGAATGAGGCCGCAACAAGTGCAGTTCTGCAGGAAAGTCGGCGTCATTGGCCGGGGCTGCGGATTCCTCAATCTAGGATCCAATTCTCCCCCCTCCCTTCTCTCCCTGTTGATGTTGATGCTAACTACCAATCATGCACAAGTATCAAGACCAACACGGACGATGCAAAGGCCAGAAGAAGAAAGCCCACGTGGGGAGTTCCCAACATGAAGGCATCGAAGGCGTCACAGAGGCTGTATGCCACGAGAGCCACTACCAGCCCGAGGATCATGCCTCCCTTCACATCCATAGGGGAATGCACCCCAAGATACAATCGGCCGAAGCTGATGGAGAAGATCCAGCAACCAGAAAGAAGCCCCAGCACAGTACCAGAGATCCCAAGCCGATGATGAAAGCAGTACAGCACCGTGAAAAGAGAGTTGCTGACCTAGGTATGCAATTGCGCTTACCCACAAGGCCTCAGATATCCTCAGATTGAAGACTCCTGAGACTGCTCAGATCCCTGAAGGCACTCCTTCCGAGCAATTGTTGTTCGCAGCCGTGTCGTTGCATCCGAAGCCGCTGAGTTCATCGCGTGAGTAGAAGGAAACCCGAAGTCGCGGCAAGCTGTGGAGTCGATGTGGGAAGCGTTTGCAGGCACCCAGACCTCGAAGCCACAGGACAGAGCGGAAGCAACAGTGCCGCCTCTGACAGAAGCTTCCCACCTTGGAGTTGACGTTCCGTGGTCGAGGGAGCCGAAACACGTCCTCGAGGCCACACATCACAGGGGCTCGAGCTGCGTAGCCATCTTCGACTTCACGCAAGGCTTCCCGTAGATGCAATGTCTGATGCGGGCCTTGAGCAGGTTGCCCCAGACGAGACCAAAGCAGACCACGTATGTCATGTGGCCTCAGATGATCTCCGACAAGCATGATTTGTAGTGCTTTAAACGACTTGCGCCGGCGTTCTGTGCCCGTTACTGCTGCCTTGACCTTTGCAGTTTCGAGTCAGACTAGGCGCGTGCAAACCTATAGTCGCCACACCAGAAAAGAAGTGGCAACAGGAGCAGATAAAACTCCTCTTCGGCGAAGAAGGATGCCACCAGAAAGACGTGATCCAACACCTTGCAACCTGAGAAAGCACTTCACTAACACTTCCAGTCAGATTCTTCGCAGTGCAAAAGGCGCTAAGCCAAATTGGGCATACAGGTCAACATTTTTCATACAATACAGGTCCAAGCCGCGAAAGCTTTCCTGCAGTCGACAGACGCTCTGAGCACCCTCCTGAGGCAGCTTGGTGATTGACACCACACAAGAGATGTGGACGCAGAACCAACACGGCTCGGCTGACGGACGAGACAAACACACAGAAGCATGCTTTGATAAACTAATGAGCTCCTTGACCCTCTCGTGCTTTCGAGCACGACTGCTCTCCACGTTTGCGTCCATGTGGAGCCAAGCTATCGGTAGCGCTACCGATAAAGCAAAGAGTTCCTGAGCTGAGCTGCCAAGAACTTTGAAAGGCCCTCTGCATCAGTTTTCTATGCGTATTAAAAACACTATCATCATGACCCTCGTGATCGATCAAGGGTCTCTCGCTCGCAGCAGGGCGGCATCGACACCTGGAAACCAGGATGTAGTGCGCCTGCTGGCGCCTACTGGAAATTGCGTCATCAGAAGCTGTGACAGCCCCAAGCCGGACTTCATGCGGCTATTTAAAATTAACTTCAGGTCCCGCGTCATCCCGCATCTCACGCAGTCGCATCATGCCAAGTCGAGGTTTCACTGCGTGCTCTCCAGAATACACGGACACAAGATGAACGAAATCAGAAGGAAGTTTTCAGTTTTGGAGGTGACTGACATGAAAATCATGAAAATTATTGGGTTCCGGGCTGGGCGAGATGAAGAGCTCGTCCTCCACCCTCAGCACATCCAAGGGCGGGGAAACCAGCTCCTCCTTCTGTCGCTTGCTAGGCGTCTCCTGCAATGGCATGAAGAGGTCGGGGGGGCCTCACGGTTCGGAAATTCGGGAGCTGTCCACAGCCTCGCAGATTTCAGGGGCTGGCCTTGTTGCAGATGTCGATTGCTTGCCCGACCTGCTTTAGATGAACCAGATCTTCCGCAGCACCGCCCTGCATTGCGCGTACGCTGAAGGAGGCTTGTGGACATGTCCGGCTAGCCTCTTGGCCTTGATCCGAAAGTTTCCCACGAGGCATTTGAGTCAAACGCGGCAAGATGTTCAAGAGACTTTCGGATCCCCGATCTCCACCCCAAGGCCCTCGGGCCCTGTACCTTCTGGGAACTCCAGTTCTACAAGCTACAACTCCGGTCCGGACCGCCTCTGCAGATTCCGGTTGAGGCGAGCCCTGCGAAGGCGCATCTTCGTGAGACTATTCCGACAGCGAGGCACGACAGATCATCCGCGATTTATACTACTTGAGGGCAGAGGGGACAAAAGCTAGGAGGACGGAAGTGGCAGCTGCACATAGCAAGCGCGAGCAGATGCTGGGGTAAGCGCATGTGAATGATGCAATGCTCGTTTGACATAAAACTCAAACTCGCATGCGTTGTCATAAACTCGAAGCCTCCGCTGAACGAAGCCTAGCAAAGCTCGTTCCTCCATGCAACAAACACGACAACTCTGAAATGTTTGTTTACCACCGCAAACTCGTCGATGCTTGTGCTTGTCGCACGATGCTGCTGCGTTGCCGAATCAAATTCAAAGAGCGGCACTCCGCTCAGGGGCCTAGTGCTTTGCAGGGCTTCTGTCGTTCAAGAACAACTGTTGCTGAATGATAGCTGCGCTGCTGTCTGTTGTACTGACCTCTTTGGGAAGGGGGGCACCGCCCTTCATCTCATCGAGAGAGCAGGGGAATTCGGTGGCAGAGGAAGGGTGGTCCCCCCCCTGCTGACGCTTAAAGATCCCTTTTAACCCTTTTTTGTCAGAAGCAAGGGACGCCTAAACGATTCTATTGACCCAAAACCAAGTCTGTAAGCGACAACTCCCGCAATCTCAAAGGAGCTAGCCGTCGTGAATACTCTTGCAGCCGTTGTAGCCCTTGATTTCCGGCCCCGCAGCGTTGAAGCCGCCCGATTCTAACCGAAACGATCGCAGCCCTGCAGCACGCCTTTCTCCGAGTCAACAGGTGCAAGGCCGCTGCTAGCAGCCAGACCTCTGCACCGGGGCTTTATGCTGGCATTTCTGCAGTAGAGCACCTCACTTGTAATTTTCGGACTGAGTGCTATCTGTGCTGACAACGCGAAGCACCTGACCACCGACGTCATGACAACGGTCTGCTGCCAAGTGCCGCACGGTTCCAGTCCCGCCGACAAATGCAGGAAGAGCAGCATACCATACGAAGGAGGTCATATGATCGGGGCTCGGATCTTCCTTGTCTTATGTTGTCAACTCTGACACGTTTGGCCGGATGTTGTTTGGATGCCGTGCATGGCGCCTGGCCCTAGCCGGTCGCAGATTACTGCAATGCCAGCTACATACTGAGCCAAAACATTAAACTCCGAGGTTGAAAACGAGGAAAAAGGTCCCAACTTCTGCTGGCGAACCCGTGCGCCTGGGCCATGGCGTTGCTGGCCTGGGCGCTTGACTCTTAGCTCCAATTGTCGCACCGAGGCACCAGTTCCACAACTGCAGGACACCTACCTGTAGATTAGACAGCAGGACTTTGGCAAGGCACTGGCCAGCACCGAGTCGTGTGCGTCGACAATGCGGACGTACTTCTGCGGCAGGCTGCACTCCGCGCAACGACACAAAGCATGCCATCGAATCTAATCGGTTCGTCGCGCAGCTGTCAGCCCTCGTGGCTCGCTCCATCTTCAAAGCTGTAAGGGGGGATGCTGGTACCCCGGGAGGCTACGTGCAAATGGTGGAGGCCTCCGATTACGTGTTGTTTTGGCCCAAAGGGCAGAAATCTAAGAACCACGCTGAATTGAGACGCTAAGCAGACACAGCAGGAGGCTGGCTGATACATGATCTCTGGCGGTCAAGCTGGGCGAGAACTCCCTCTGCCATAACTTGCATCGAGTCAGCTGCCTTTGATGACGTGTCAACGAGGCGACCAAAGAGCGACTGTTCCCGGTTGATCCACACCGGTCCAAATCTCTTCAAAATGACCCCTGGCCATTCCTGAAACTTCTCGGGTGGCTCGTGGATCGTTCCTAGTGCAAAAGCCTGCAAACTTCGAGTCCGTTCACGGCAAATATCCTTGCAGCAGGTGCCAGGGATGGCCAAAAAGGCGTGAAGCCTCGGTGTGAAACCCTACGGATCCTTGGGCACCCGTTTAAAGGAGGATGGAAGCTTCAAAGAGACATGATCGGCTGCTACAAGTAAGTCGCTTCGAGGGCCCAGCTGAGGAGGAAGTCACCCGATTGGTGTGGTTACCCGGCAACCTCCATCTGCAAACAATGAGGAATTTTCCTACCTCGTAATTACGAGTCTGTCAGGCTTATCAGCTGCACATGGAGGCGTTTTGTGAGCCTTTCACACTGGCTCGACCTTGCAATGGCAACCCTGCCGATCCACTTTAAGTGGAGTGACGGTGAGATCTTGCACACTGGCAAGGTGTCTGCTTCGGCATTGGCTCAGCGTCCCCAGGTTTCTAAAGCCGCCCGGCACTGAGCGAATTGGAACTCTTACGGGAGTGCAGCCTGCCTCTAATACCCTCGGACTTATGGCTTGCATGGCCGGCAAAGGTTCACCTTGGGCACAGGTTCACCTTCACACCTGCGAGCGGCCTGCAGTGATTCGGGCGCATATGCCAGAAGCCCTCTCAATTCGGACCACCTCGAAGAGTGTGAGCACTGGAACCCTCCCTCGCAAGCATTCTCAAGAAGAACATCGCCTGTCTGCACCCGAACCCTCCAATGCACACCCGCTATGGCCAGGACTCGACACAGTGGATCCGGCCGGAAGTACAAGATCAAGACTGTTGCATGATTGATGCACAGCAACATAACTCAGATCCTCAGGACCCACACCATCCGTAAAGAGATGCTCTGCATCGGTGCTTCAGCAATGCTTCGCATTGCCTGATGGTATGCAAGCTCGTGCAGTAAAATTTGGCTTAGAGTCACCGTTTGTGACTCTCACGCAGGAAACCTTCCAAAACTGGTGATGCTTTCGTGACATGCTTCCGAGATACAGGACTGAACAAAGAGATCGAGATGGCAAACACTTCACTGAAAGCTTCAACACTGTGGCCCGGCACCCAAGTCGAGGATTTGGAACTTCTGGCCATTTCTCACAAACCTGAGTCAGCACAACGACTCTGTTTGGCAAGCTGTGCACGCAAGGCACTGGCAAAGGTCGGGTGGACTTTGGTGGCTAGACGGCTAGATAACCTGCTGCAACATCCAGAAACAGCCTTCAAGCCCTGTGGCTGCGACTGACGCTTGACCCTTCTGCTACACCTATTCTAAACGGCAAACCGGGGAGTGGCACTTGTTGAGCTTTCTGTGAGAAGCCCGCTCCACGAAAGCCTTGCAGGGCGTGGATAGGATCGTCTCTGGGCTTGGGGAAGCGTCCTCGGTATGACCTTTAAGCATGCAAGGAAACTGCAGGAAATGAGACACGGGCCTCGCTTTCATTGTGCTTGGTGACGAGCCACAGCTCTCCTGTGCTCAGATCATGCACCGTTCCAGACCAATCCAGACCAATTGACAAACTACCATAGGTGACAATGGTGCACATCGGACACCCTGAATGATGTCTGAAGTCTACCTTTCTGCAAGTCCGCGGTTGCAGCAGGATACGAGCTGCCTCTCGACACGTCGAGAATCTCCGCGACTTTCAAGCCCTGAGTCAAAGAGTAGTGCACGGACTCGTCCTGGTTACTCAACCCTGAATCTTCCTAGGGAAGCCCAGACCGTGTACAATGCAGCCTGGCTGGCATCTTTGTTAGCAAGTTCACGAGCTGAAGCAGTTTCAAAGGGTCAATGCAACCGTGTCGGCCTTGATTGTGTCAATGCGGACGTGCACAGAGGTCGCCACGGCGCCGGCAGACTGGCCACACACACACAGACGCACACACAGACACACACACACACACGCACCCACACACACACACACACGCGTGTGTGTGTGTGTGTGTGTATACATATGTATGTATGTATGTTATGTATGTATGTTATGTATGTATGTATGTATGTATGTATGTATGTGTATATATATATATATGTGTGTGTATATACATATATACGTGGATATTGGTGTTTACAGATGAGTCAGATGGTTACATACATACATACATACATACATACATACATACATACATATGTATATACATACGTAGTGATACTTGCCACTCACTTCTATGGGGATGCCACTACTGATTACATATTCTGTTATCGTCGATCGTATGGGTAGTTCTCTAAATCAGGGTCCCTTTCCAGGTCCCCAATTTAAGGAAGGAGGCGACCTCAAATCACGGGAAGGATCCCTCCTTCTGAGTCTCTTCCATGTATGACTACGATTTAGGGTTTAGGGTTTAGGGTTTAACCGTATGACCCTACAAAATCCATGTTGCTAATCCTTTTTCCTCAGGGCCCTAAGCCCCAAACCCTACACCCTAAACCCTAAACCCTAAACCTGAAACCCTAAACCCTAAACCCTATAAACCCTAGACTATACGCTCGCTGGCCTTGAGCTCGTCGTCTCCCGCCCCGGCATCCGTCTTCATCAACTTTTCCAGGTGGCTGCCTTAGGGTTCAAGTTTTTGATTTAGGGTTTAGGGTTTAGGGTTTAGGGTTCAGGGGGTTCAAATTCTGATTTAGATTGTTGGCTGGAGGGCTTTAGGGGTTTAGGGATGTTTGGTAGTGCTTGGGGATTTGGGGCTTGGGATGTTTAGGGCTTCGAGTCTAGGGTCGTAAGATGTTGAAACGGATGATGGCGATGCTGAGGACGGCCAAGGTGGTGATGATGTGGATGGCGATAATGATGTTTACAGACCGATCATGCCGACAGTGACGATGTCGATGGGAATTGTGAGGGGGACGATGACGATGCTTTTGAAGAAGAAGAAGAAGTTGATAATGATGATGATGATTATGATTATGATTATGACTATGATGGTGATGATGACGACTACGTAATGATGATGAAGATGATGAAGAAGAAGATCATGATGATCGATGTCCGGGCACTAATGATTTCTAAGCCTACCACGCCGCACTAGCGTTGGTGAAGTCAGGGCAGGTGCAGCACGCTCTGACTCAAGGCCAAAGCCTAAAGCCAGGACACCCCCCCCACCCGCCATGCATTCCACGGGAAGAGTTAGGTTGCAACTATTATAATGTTCTACATCCTACATCCCCTGCCAGTATGGTTAGCATGACGATTCTCACTAGTGCTTGAACTCTTGCCTTCCAGCCGGCTTTTGGGGTGTGCAGGCTTCGCCTAGGAGACCCCCCCAAAGCCAGAAACTCAGAGCCACGCTCTCTTCCTTCAGGATTGCCTGGGATCATCAGGGCTCAACATGATGCACACAAAATCGGCGGCTGGCTACTGCTGCTGCTGTGACGATGAGAATGCTTGCTGGCAGTGCCTACTGCACAACGACTAACCTACTACTGGACTAGGCGTAACTGCTAAATGCAACCAGATCCAGACTGCACCACCTTGTTGAGCTATTTTGCCATACTGCTCCTGCTGCTACTACGACTGCTCCTGCTGCTGCTGCTGCTGCTGCTGCTGCTACCACTCCTCCTCCTCCTCCTCCTACTCCTCCTACTACTACTACTACTACTACTACTTCTTACTACTACTACAACTACTACTACGACGACGACTACTACTACCACTACCACTACCACTACCACTACGACGACGACGACGACGACGACGACGACGACTACTACTACTACTACTACTTACTACTACTACAACTACTACTACGACGACGACGACTACTACTACCACTACCACTACCACTACTACGACGACGACTACTACTACTACTACCACTGCTACTGCTTCTGCTACCACCATTGCCACTGCTACTGCTACTGCTAGGGCCACCACCACAAACACTACTAATGCTGCCATTGGTGCTCCTTCCAGTGCTGCTGCTGCTGCTGCTACGACTGCTACGACACTAGTCCTACTCCCACTACTGGGTTGTGGGTGTGGAAACATGATAGTCAGCAGCAGGGCTGATGACGTCTGCAGCGGTACGCATCACAACAGCAACGAACATCATCACCACGAGAAACATTATGCTTCTGCCGCCATTGTCAAAGGCTTGCATTCACAGCAGCACCACCAGCAGCAGCTGCAGCAG